GCATCATTACTCCAGTCTTCAGTGTCACATGATCTTCAGAAATCATTCTAATATACTGATTTGCTGCTCAAGTTTTTTTATTATTATTATTATTATTATTATGTTGAAAACAGCTAAGTAGAATTTTTTCAGGTTTCTTTGATGAACAGAAGAACAGCATTAATCTGAAATAGACGTTTTTTGTAACATTATAAATGTCTTTATAATCACTTTTGATCTATTTAATGCATCCTTGCCAAATAAAAGTAATAATTTCTATAATACCCTCCCTCCCCCACCCCCCAAAAAAACAAAACAAAAAACAAAAATACAAAATTATACTGACTCCAAGCTTTTAAATTGTATAGTGTATAATGTTATAAAAGCTTTGTATTTCAGAAAAATGCTGAATGAAAAATGATTTGGATTCTATTCATCAAAGAATCCTGGGGAAAAAATGTACTCAACTAATTAAAAATAATAATAAGTAATAATAATAAATCAGTATATTAGAATTATTTCTGAAAGATCATGTGACACTGAAGACTGGAGTAATGATGCTGAAAATACAGCTGCGCATCACAGAAATAAATTACAAATATGTTCAAATAGAGTAAAAATATTTCACAAAATTACTGCTTTTGCTGTATTTTCGATGAAATAAATGCAGCCTTGGTGAGCAGAAGAGAATTCTTTAAAATAACATTAAAAATCTTCCTGTTCAAAAACTTTTGACTGGTAGCGTAAAGGTTTTAGTGCTGTCTATTGCTATGGTACAGAGTGCTCCCTTGATAATCACTAAAAAGCTGTCACTCATCTTAGTTCATTGCGATCTCACAAAGTTAGGTTATAATCAATGAAGTACTCTACACTGCACAATGAATCTCTTATTTACATAGAGTCTACACCTTGTTATAATGAGATGATTTGTGCTGAACACAACATCTGAGTAAAAACTGAGTGTAAGTGGATTCTAACTTAAATGCCTCTGATTGGCTGTTGCGTTCAAGAAATCAACAGAATTGTCTGTGATTGGCTACATTGCTCAACGCTAAACAGGTTGAAATACAGACCAGAGCACAAACCATAACACACTGGATAGTTTTCTAAATCTGCAATAAAAGTGCTATCGATTTCGTTTGAGGGTGCTTAACTGTTTTTATTTATTTTCCTTAATAACACATTTTCTGATGCATTGTCATCCTGCACATGCTAAATTTATATATGAATATGTTACAGTTTTAAAAATTATATGCACATTATTGACAGGTAAGTGCGTATCTTCCCTCATGTTACCCAATACTGCTGAAAAACACATTTCCCCACATTTCCCAAAAACCCCTGCAAACACACCATTAGATAAAACACTATTAAACTAAACACACCAATAGATAACAGCCATATCGTTTAGCCTCAAGGATGAGTAACAGAACATGATATACATCCACACAGATCTGATATAAACTCCTCATTGTCATATTTTAACATTAAGCAGCAGTGCTGATGTTAAGTACATTTGTTAGTGGACACATGGTGCGTCATTGACCTTCATGACACAGTGGTCTTTATATTCAAGGGTAAGAATAAAAATCTAACTGAAAACGAACTTTCTACAAAACAGATCTCAATATTCATTTGACGGTATAAAGATCAAATGAATTCATTACAAAACAAGTGCAGTGTTGAGGAAAGTTACTTTTAAAAGTAATGCATTACAATATTGCGTTACTCCATTAAAAAGTAACTAATTGCATTACTAATTGACTTCTTATGGAAAGTAATGCATTACATTACTCTTGCGTTACTTTTGGTCACATGAGCTGAATGAATGTTTGCTCATCTGCAATACGTCTATAGATCGTTTCCTATCAGATGTCAAAAAGACGTATATTAGATGTCTTTAAGATGTTTATGATTTAGAATGTATGTAAAACTGACATCTGAAAGATGTCTGTCAGACGTCTGTACACAGCAGATGCTTTCCAGATCAAGAGACCTATCTTGCAGATGTACGTGTGCTATCTGGGTCATCTTCGAGTTTCGCCTGAACGCTCACATAAAACTTTTATGGAAGACTCTCCGGCCTGTTATTAAAAACACGGCTGCTTGTCTCTTTCAGCATTCCATCTTCATCACTTCATCAGACTACACCATGATAAGTATTTATATTGTTTTATGCACTTGTGGAAGTTGGGCGCAGAATGTATTCTTTGCCAGGTTATTCACACACACACACACACACACACACACACACACACACGTGTTTTAGACAAAGCGCTTAGTTGTTGTGTGATTGTTAATGAGGTTAATCTAGCAGATCTAGGCGAGAGTTTATGCTCTCTTAGTCGCAATCTAGCAGATTAACCCAATTTGAGCCTAGGTTGCGCTTTGGCTTAGTGCGATTTTGAAAAAAATAAGTTCTTATCAAATCATTATTTGCTCAACGTTTTATTGGTAAAATACAGTACTGAGATCAGAGTGCATGAATTGCATAACGCTGCACGATTCATATTTGCAAGCTCAGTTGCCACCTTTAACGTACATTTAATAGAAACATGAACATTTACATTATTTTCAATATATTTACTTTTATGAGAAGCATTTACAAACCCGTTTTCCAACAAAAGAGAATATTTAATGGCATGTTTTGCTCAGACTCATTCAATAACATTCAGACTTTGTTATGTGGCGTCGTGAGGCTTCATTATTATAGGCCTATATAATATTTTACACTTATAGAGCCTATGTTGCTTGCATTATACCTTCTTGTAAAAATACCTCACCTCATCTTAACTCAGGTCATTTTATTTGGACTAATGCTACTACGAATGCAGTCTATATCAAGCTGATGCACACATGGTCATTCTCCCACTCGAGTTCTAGGTAAGATCTGGCTCAATGCTCAGCAGGCATCTTTAAGCTATAATCAAAGCATGTTTATCTTTGCAGATACTGGTGGTGGTTTCATTAGTTTCCTCATACCTATTGGCTTCGGTCTTACTTGGCCTATCGTGGCCTTCACATTACATGGACTATTGTGGCCCTTCACATAACTCTGGTGGTCATCAGGTAAGTCTGACTATTACTGTTTATAAAGTTTGGCCTATCAGGGCCTTCGCATGTTATGGCATATTGGGGCCATAACATTGAGTATTTACTTTACTTATGTGTCATGCTGATCTGGCTTATTTTCTTTCTTGAGGGGAAAGGTCTCCTCGGTGGGTTCTGGCAGTTAGATGTAGTTCTATCAAGCGCATGCAGGAGTCTAATCTAAAGAATGTTTATTATGTATCTGTGTTTATGCTCTCTTAGTCGCTGTTAGAACCTAAATACTACCTTCTATCGTTTTACCTAAAATAATGGCCTTCCTAAAACAATGCGGTGGTTTAGAATCCCTTTAATCCACCATCAAGCTGCTATGTACATGATCGTCCTCCGCATTTGAGTTCCTCTCAAGATTAGACTCTAAACTATTTCATGTACAGTAATAATCAATGTACAGTATGAAGCTCTTAGCAAGCTACTGGTGGTGGTTACTTTCTCATGTGCTCCTCATGTCCAGCCTATCAAGGCTAGGCAAGGCAAGTTTATTTATATAGCACATTTCATACACAAAGGTAATTCAAAGTGCTTTACATAAAATGGATTAAAAAGATCATAAAAAATAATCCCAACAATAAAAACAAGGAATTTAAAAACTTTTAAAATTATTTAAAAATTGATTTAAAATGAATTAAAACAGTTAAGAATAGAAAATTATTATACATAAAATAGAGTGCAATCAGTTCGGACGTAGCACACTGCTCATTCAGTAACTGCACAGCTAAACAGATGAGTTTTGAGTCTGGGTTTAAATGTGGCTGATGTTTTAGCACATCTGATCTCTTCTGGAAGCTGGTTCCAACTGTGGGCAGCATAATAGCTAAAAGCGGACTCCCCTTGTTTTGTGTGAACCCTTGGTATTTCTAACTGACTCGATCCTAATGATCTGAGTGGTCTGTTAGGTTTATATTCAGCATATCTGCAATGTATTTAGGTCATAGTCCATTGAGTGATTTATACATGAGTAATTGTACTTTAAAATCAATCCTAAATGTAACTGGAAGCCAGTGTAAGGACCTGAGGACTGGTGTGATATGCTCAGATTTTCTGTTTCTAGTCAGAATCCTGGCAGCAGCGTTCTGGATGAGCTGCAGCTGTCTAATGGTCTTCTTGGGAAGGCCGGTGAGGAGACCATTACAATAGTTCACCCTGCTGGTGATAAAGGCATGAACAAGTTTCTCCAAGTCTTGACTGGAAACAAAACATCTAATTTCTAGAAGTATGTTATGATCTACAGTGTCAAACGCAGCACTGAGATCTAGTAGTACCAGCACTGATATTTTGCCAGAATCAGAATTTAAGCAAATCTAATTTATTATCTTTATGACCGCACTGTGATGTGGTTGGAAACCAGGTCGAAAATTGTCCAGATATCCATTTGAGTTTAAGTAGTAGTTCAGCTGATTAAAAACTACCTTTTCAATAATCTTGCCTATAAAAGGAAGATTTGATATTGGTCTATAGTTGCTCAATATGGTGTTATCAAGATTGCTCTTTTTCAGGAGGGACTTAAAGGGGTCATTGGATGCAAAATTCACTTTACATGTTGTTTGAACATAAATGTGTGTTGGAAGTGTGTGTACACATC